TGGGGACTTATTCCCGCAGGCTCGATGGAACAAGTTCCATCGACTTCCTCTAGCTGTGGTGGCGCAACCACAGCGAGATCCTCTACGATCAACTCTCCAGTTGATCTAGGATTACCGTGTTGCCGTTTCTGGGCAACCGGTTTACTCTTCGGTGAATGCTGCCCTCTAGGCGAGCATTCATGTCCCAGTCCACTCGACTTATTCGAGTGGTGGACCTTCGACGCTGCCTGTGCTTGTGCACAGCCGCCGGCAGCTTGCTCCACAGCGGGACTGTCTGTCACGCTGAGTTCTTGTGCAGTCGTACTAACGACCGAACCATAAGTGAGGCCATCACACTCACTCGTAGTACATTCACACGCTTGTGAACGCTCCAAGACGTTCATCAGATGGCCATCTGATGAACAAGCGGCAGGCATCTTCACGGTTCGATGCTGCCAGCTGACCCATGGATCGTACCTTCTGAGCCATGGTAATCCTAGGATGATATCAAATTTGTCATCCAGATCAAGTACGATGAAATCATCATCGTACTTTTTGCCTTCAAGCGTGTAGTGAATTCCTACTACACGTTTCTTTAGTGTTACGGATGCGCCAGTTGCAAGGTGCACCGTCATCCTCGTTGGAGGGGTCTCACGCTCAACATATTTGAGGCTACGATCATCTAGCGATTGGCGTCGAACAGAGCTGCTCGAAGCCCCACAATCAACTAGGGCGCGAAGTGACATGTTCTTTGTCACTTCGATCTTCAATGTGATGAGGGATACCTCATCACTGGGAGCGGCAACACACAGTGACTGTGTGTTGGGAGCAACCTTCGTCAAGAGTCCCGCGAACTCTCTTGACGTTGCTGGATCAGTAGGGCGCTCCGCCCCTACTGACCCCGACCGCTTTTTAATGGTCCACCACGTTGTTTCGATTTCGCAGCAGCGTGGGACCCACGTCTCTGGCTCTTCTTGGCAGACGGTCGACCGTCACTCCCAGTGTTACGAGACACTGGGCGTGATGCACTACACTCATAAGCGTAGTGGCCCATCTTTTGAAAGTGATTGCACTTTTGCAATCGCGTGTATGCTGGAGAGCTAGGTCGCTCGCTCTCTACATAGGAGAGGTCCATTGGTTCTGGATCTCCGCCCTCCTGTCGTCTCGGTGGGCGATAGGACCCCGAGTCGATGTGAGCCTGTTGCAGGCTGAAGTCCTCCTGTTCCGCTATAGAGATCGCTTGATCCAGCGATTCTAGCTCCAAGCGGAACAAGTGGGTCTTTACAGGACCATTTGCCAGACCCTTGATGAACACAGTAACCTGCGTGTGTTCATCGATTGGGTTCAGTACGATACAGCTAACGAGGTATCGTACGTGTTGGGCGTAAGATTGTATATCACGCTTACCCTGTTTCAAATCCAGGAGCTCAGCCCGAGCCCTGAATTCGGCGCGAGTCGGTTCAAACGTGTGTTTGAGCCGCGCCTTGAAGACGTCATACGTTGGGAAAACGTGTGGGTCGTGCAGTTTGAGCCCTAAGGCCCAAGCTTTGGCACGTCCTGCCAAGTTCGACATGGCGAACTTGACCTTCATCGCATCGTCATCGATGCGGCGAGCCTCAATGGCATCGTCGAGCTCGACGAACCATCTCAACAAGGAGTCGCTTTCGACTGCCTTGTACTTGGAGACATCAATCTTCAAGGACTCGGGTCGACGTGTATACGTCGACCCGGCAGCAACAGCACTAGCCTGCTGTTGTCTCAACAGTTCAGACTGTTGAGCACCCTGCTGCATCAACAAGTCAGCTTGTTGAGCGCCTTGTTCTCTCAACAGTTCAACCTGTTGAGAACCTTGCTTCTCTAGCAAGGTGAGTTTCTTTACGACTTCGTCAAGTTCATGTTGTATGAACTTGGCGATGGTTGCATGTTGGTCGTCTCCGCTAAGAGAGAGCAACATGGCACCAACGGCAGGGTTGCCGATGGTTTCAGCCATACGCTGAACCACATCCCATTCGAGATCGCTTCATTTGTACTACAATATTCAGGATCGTCTTATGTACTAGTTAAATCGACTTATCAGATGGCGGAAGTCATTACGCGTTGCTTGATGACGCTCCTCATCCGCTAATTCCATTGCGGATGATAAAATGGTCGTTGAACGGACCACGAAGTGTTACTAGGTGTAATGGGGCACCCTCCGACTATACTGATAACAGTATAGTCTACCTTTACTGATAATCAGAGAAAGCAGGTGTCAAACACAAAGAGGCAGAGGAAGTTTTACTTCTAACAACACGTTAGAAGTAGAGAAAAGAGAATTGTATCTAATATAGTTAAACTATCTAACAAAACGAAAACATTAATAACCTTATCTTAACTACATCAAAGTACAAATATGTATGCTACCTTTGTGCACTCCATTCATTGCGCGCGTCCATCGGGGATTGGTCAGCGCCTTAATTGATATAATAGCCTATATCAACCAATTAGAGGGCATCTTAAACTTCAAGGAGATGCGAGGACAATATTGTATGAAAAGATAATATTGTCAAATATTATTAGTTATAATAAAATTAAATATTGATACTTCACATAAGTGTCAACATTATGTAACGATCTCACCCCGTTATGGAGGAAGACTTTTGAGGCTAGAAGCCACTTAGCTATAAAGAAGTAGATGAATATACGGCTAAAAGCCACCTAGTTCTACGGAAATATATAATAAGATAAATGACTACGAAGTCTACCCATTTTACGGAAGTGGGAGATACTTCATCTTATAAAACCCCTACAAATGCCTCTAGTCATTTAATTTTTGCTTGGAGAAGCAATCTAGAAAGCTCTTCCGTTGGCTTTTATTTCTGAGCCAACATCTGCTAGTAATGTCGTCCACTCTAAACAGTGTTGGTCACATAAGCACGCCGCGTGGGCATCCATCTTCCATAAAAGATAGCAATTACTGGACTTGCCAGCATCTGCTCCTAGCCCATCCTTGTCGCTCTTCCCGATCTGTTGGCGTCGTCCTATCCCAGCGTCTTTCCCATCTTCAGCCCACTGGTGCGGATGCAATTGATCTGTATCGGTCTTTCCCTTGACGTACCTGTTAAAACCAGTACTCTCTAACACTTTTTCAGTGGTTGTGACGTGTCGTAAAGCGGTACACGCTGTCGCCTAGTTGCCAACGCGATGAGCAAGGAGACAATAGACTTCTCTTTTGAAAGCATGGTCTTAAGGTTTTATGCACTACGTCGTTTTTACTGTGTATTTAAGTCGGACGGTGCTGCTAGCTACGTACTCGTTTAAGAAAGAATTGTAAGATGCATATGCGCATTTCAAGCTTGATAGTATAGTATGTTTGACATAGTGATATTTGTTGTTGCCGACGACGGCAGCATCAACGAATCGATTTCCACAAAAGCTAGGTGCTAAATAAGTCTCTAATTCAATTTGTTACTGACAAAGTATCTCGTCGTTTTTAGTGAAAAGTTAATTCGCCGATGTCGAAGCTATGTCAAGCTAATAGTTGTGCTGATCGAATAGCCTCCAATCTGTCAAGTACGACAAGGCAAGTTCTAATATGAACGCTAGGGTCGCATTTGGTACCTGATCCCAGCTATGGCTTTGCATCGCAACATCGTCGACAGCTTTGGACACATGTAAAATTGGAAAGACTTGACCACGCTTGATCGGCGTCCATCTGTATATTATATCTATCGCTGCCGAATGCCGGCTGCTTTCGCTATGTTATATCCTGCCATCGTCAAGATCATCAACAGTGGTGCCATTTCAATTGCAGATAATTCTGTTGTCGAGAGTGTCCAAGCTGCTACGTGTGGAAGCAATGCGGATATGGGATTGCCTACTCTTGTTCTTCTTACTATGTCTCTTGTGGCATCAGATCGTAGAACTGCCGAGGAAGAAAGTGCTTTGGTCAATTGGGAGTAAATGACCGACACTAAAGTTCGAGTCCGACACTGCTAGCACTTCAGGGTTCACAATAAATGGTGCAGTGGATAACGACAAGATTTGGTGACGACGCATCGCTGTTCGCCAATCCACATGGAATCCAGAGAACTGATCATGTTAATGACACAGGTACTGTATTTGCTCTGAAGGCACTTCCCAATTCGAGCCTTCGAGCAACAACGGCCAAGAGACGAAGACCTTCAAAGAGCCGGTCAACCGGCCCCCTCCGACCAGGGCGGGAAGTCCCTCCAACGGGAGGCCCAGGATAAGAGGGGGGAGGTTTTCCCTCTGCTGCGTGCGCTATGGGGGGCAAGCGCAGCGTGCGAACCGTAAGGGGAGCACCAACCCTGTTACCCCCGGGGGGAGAGGATCGATGACCGCGGTTATCATTCCCTCTTTCCCCAATAGTTCCTGCTATTCTACGTCAGCCTTCAAGCCGCCGATTCGATCGCCGAGCGCGAATCTCGGTCCCACGAAGTGAACTTGCCAAGAACGTGAATTGATCGGCCCCGTCCAGGTGCATCAGCGGTCGATCGGGACTGATCGGTGTGGTGCCCGGCGCTTGTTGCGATCATTGAGCCACTGTTTACACCTCGGGCTGGATACCCGATTCCACGTGCCCTTTTCGGAGTGTCCTCCGTGACGCCCGACGTCTCGAGCCAGCAGATTGAGCCAGCGAGGCGAAGAATGACGAAGTCCTGGTAGAAGCACTCCAGACATCTTACCAATCCTTAATGTTTGAAATAGACGGTCTGTTCTTCTTCTATTTGCTCTGAAGGTCAGCACCGATACATACATTGGCCTATCCATGGCGAGAACGTAAGCGGTGCGGCTGCTCGGATCGAGTGCACGAACGGAAGATTTAACGAGCTAAAAGACGGTAAGACGGGAAAGATGGATAGTCTCCAATCTTTCTGGCCTGATGCACTGTAGTCTGGTCGTAATGGAGGATGGAACTGTCTAACTAATTGAATCCAGGATTCCATCCTGTGCTACACTGCCTCCTCACTTTACAATTTGCTCCAAGCTCACTGTGCCAATAATAAGGGATAGCTGTCATGTCAAGTGCAGCCCGGATTTCTTGCGCGCTAGTTGTTGTTGCGCTCGTCTTTTGCTCAGCTCAAACCGTGGCAACCCCCAAGTCGAATCCTGGGGGTGTCGCTTCGACTACGCTGCATTCGTCTCATGCCCCGGCCGCGATCAATCGGCGATTGAAGCGTACCACGGCCATGGAGACGAGTGAATCTTCTGAAGAGAGGGCCCTTAACTTTCATTTTTCAGAACTGGCTCCCAGCTTTTCCAGCCTGAAGTCTATTCCTGCGGCAATTTACCAGAAAATGCAAATTTGGGTGTGGCGGCTGATGCGGAAATCCTCGGACGATGTGTTCAAGCTTCTGAAGCTCGAAGAGCTTGTCAAGCTCGACACGGAAGGAACCAAACTGTTTCGAGACCTACGCTTTATGAAGTGGGTCCTTTTTGTCGAGGCAAGATACTCGAAAGATCGCAAAGCGGGAATTGATGTAATCTTGTCGACTCTGAAAGCTCATTACAGGGAAGATGCTGCATTGGCTGATGTTCTTGTTGCTGGACTAAGAAATCCCAATACGTATATACTCGCCGATGTCCTGTTAACGGTACAACTCCAGAAGTGGTGTGACACTGGAAAAAGTGTGGAGTCGGTTTTCACACTTTTAAAGCTACACGATAATGGAGAAGGACTCTTTGAAAGCCCACAACTAGTTCATTGGCTAGAATTTGTCGGGTCGTATTACCGAGTGATGGACAATGAGGCTTACAATGAGGCTTACAAGTCGGCTATGGAGGTGGCTAAAATTTTAAGTGATGCGGCGGCTAAAAAGTTGGATGATGCGGCGGCTATAAAGTTGACTGATAAGGAGGCTATCAAGACTAAGAAGGCGTTTGAGTCGGCTGCTAATAATGCTATCAAGATTAAAGAAAAGTTTGAGTTGGCTGCTAAAGAGGCTGAGAAGGCTTTCAAGTCGGCTGACCGTGTGCCTGCTAAGGCTGCTTTATCAATTTTACGTTATCATTACAACGACGAAACATTAACGATAATTCTAGATAAGGGTTCGAAGGTTAAAGACGACAGAGTGAAGAATATTGCTGTCAGACTGGCAAAGAGGCTTAAAAAGGAGCTGACCCATGAGAAATCTTAGCAAGGTTAACACAACCCTAAAGATTTAGCATACAATATTTCGGAGCCTACGGTCAGCGGCTAGGCTTACGCAACTAAGCTTAATAAGGCAACCTGGGCGTCAAAACACTCCTAATGTAATAGGGCATCTAGTTACACGTAAATAATGATGTATATACTTGATGTAAGGTCGCAAATTATCCATGATTACTTTTGACCTGTCACTTGTGTGCGATACATAAATGTGATTCACCCTCGTGAATGTGATATCCATTGATGGATTCACATGGGAAAGGATGACGCTAGTTGAAGCTAGGCATCGCGACGTCCCAGAAGGACGCCATTAGCGAGCTTAAATCTACATTTAAGCTTACACGTCAGGATACGCTTCTAAAGAGTCGCGTATCCGATCTTTATATAATTAGCCAATCAGTAGTTAAGTTTTATATTTAATTATAATTCATTAAATATAACTCAGTCTTGAATTTACTACACACTGTCTACTACGCACTAGAAGCTGAGTTAGCTTCTGCGTGACGTAAGTAGGACACTTGTTAGTTGTTCATTGCGCTCTCGCTTAAGCGAGAGGCAACTGGTGGTACGACTACTTAAGTAGTCGACCAACCACACAACCACACTCGCACGCGAAGGTAAGACGGTCTAACTGCTTCCTCGCTTGTGCTGAAGATGTGTGCTAAGTAGTACGAGGCAACTTCGTAGAAGTACCTGTCTACATCGTTGGTCTTAAAAACAGAAATAGATGAAGAAGAACAATGGCGCTAAGTGCACGTGGCGAAACAATTCCAGGCCCAAGGACGTGTTAAATATACGCTGTTCGCGCAAAACGACAAAGCCGTGGACAAGTTATGGAAATGAGGTGAAGTGCTTTTCAAAATTTTGAAAAACCCAGAGGCCAGTTGGGTTGAAGGGGTAGTGGGCCGTGGACCAGGGAGAAGGGACCACGCGAAGGGACCGGAGAGAAAGAGAACCTCGGAGTGAAGCGAACGTTGGATGACAATGTGAAAGACAAACAAAGGAGAAGTCATTACCAGGGTACTGTTTAACCGGTACCGAAGGGAGTCGACCATGGTCCCCTTCGGAACTTGGTTCCTCATTGGTCGACCTGGGTCCCTCATTGGTCAACCTCGGCCCCTCGGGGTTCAGCCACTCCTGACCAGTTAATACAAGGATCAGACCAGTCGACACAAGGAATCAGAGCTTCAGGCAAGGATAGAGCAAAGAAGTTAAAAGAATAGGACTATATTAAATACTACTCAATTTGCGATCTACTTGGCAAGTCTTCGTCGCGCTGTACAGGAACTCGAGTCTGGCCACACGCCTGTTCCGAGGAAGTGTAATGGGCTACATTACACATATAGCATTAACACAAATAAACAATTACATATGTAGGCAGGTGCTGGGCCCGAATAGCGGGCACAGCGTGGTAATTTATTATTGGTTTATTATTGGGCCTAAAGTCCCCAATATGGACCAATGATAAATCAACCTGAAATTGTGTGGTTCCCGAAAGGCAGGAACACTGTCGTATTTATTACGACTAAAATCTTCGTAATTAGTACGAATTAAAACCAAAATAAAAATCAGAGTTAAATTTACTTAATACCTAATACTCGGGCTTGAGTCTTCCTCAAGCGCACGTGTAAGCTAGTGACGGTACGTTCTAGCCCCGTTACACCTGGTAGCACTTTGTAGTCCTTCCTATGCCCGAGTTTGGGATGAGCGAATCGTCGTACTTTGACACTCCAGATTTATTTCTGGAGCACGCGACCTTCCCCCATCTTACTGGTGTTGAGTGGGATGCCCTTAATCGCCTCGTGGCGATATCGGGAGAAGCATTCGTGGCGTCGTTGATGAGATCAGCGACCCCTGACGCGCAACGTCTCGCCATACATGAGTTTATGGCACGCGAGCTCGCCGAATCCAACCGGCGAGGCTTAACTCCCTCGCACCCTTCACGTAATGAGGCCGTGAAGATGGAAACCTCCTCCTACTCTGGAGAAGGTAAGGACTGGTTATCGCTGAACCGGTGGTTCCGAGAAGTTGATATCGCCATCGCCTCGAGACTTCTTGAGGCTCCACAGGCGAAGGTCAACTTTCTTCTTTCCCGCCGCACCGGGAAGGCCAAGGAGTGGGCCCTTGGTAAACTCGTTGTGGACGAGCACGCATTTCCCACCTTGGATACCATCCAGGACGATCTCCGTCTTGCCTTCGAGCCACCACAAGAGGAGAAACTGGTGCGATCAAGATTCCTGTCGATGCGACAGGGTAAAATGGCGGTGCGCGACTACGTACAGATGGCTAGGCATCTGGCGTCGTGTATTATCACGCACCCCATGGACATGTACACACAGGTGAATGTCTTTGTGGATGGTATGCGTGAGGGGCAGACCCGCTTATCGCTGGAGCGCGCCGAGCCTGCCACAGTGGAGGAGGCATTCGCCATCGCACTCCGTGAAGACTTTAGGGTCACAAAGGCCTATGCCAAACCCTCGGTCGTCAGCGTTTCCCGGCCTTCTAGCCCAGAACCTATGGAGATCGACGTTATTGAGTCGTCGGGTGACCGGCGACGTGTCTTTCATCATAAAGGTGACGCTCGCACCAGGCGTCCAATGGTTTGCTTTCGTTGTCTCAAGCCAGGACATCGCGCGGCAGAGTGCCGTGCGCCAGCCCCATTATCGGTGCAAGTAGTGGACGCCCATCATGAGGGTGCTGTACCGGCCGCACGTCCAAAAAACGGTCGGGACCAGTAGGTGCAGGGCGCCCTACTGGTTGGAACGGAGGTCCGGGTCCCCCGGTGGCAGCCCAACCTTCCAGTCCTCCTGCGCTACGCGCACGGTTAAATGCCACCACTACGAGTGGTGATTCACGTCTGATTATTGTCAGTTTACATGTCGCCGGCGTCCGGCGACCTCTGCGAGCACTCCTGGACTCAGGAGCAACAAACAGTTTCTTTCGTGAATCTTGTTTGTCGATGATGCCTCCCAGCAATCAGGTCCGTGAGGGACCTGGCCAAGTCGTCGTCAAGTTGGCTGACGGGAAACCACACCGCGTATCGCGGCGCGAAGTGTCGTTGCCGTATACGTTTGATGGCTTTCGCAGTAATGATGATTTCTTGGTGATCGCGATGAATTATGCATTCGATTGCATACTGGGCATGCCATGGTTGGCACGTTATAAGCCCCAGATCGACTGGTTAGACAGATCAGTGAGACGTCGACGCAAGTTCGATGTCAGTGAAGTGTTTACCCATCTCTTGGTATCTCCAAGTGACTGGCCAAACGTCACAGTCGTGGATCGCGATTCCACGACGTTGGCGGTGCACAGAGCGAGCGATGGCCCTCTCTGCACTGCTTGTGCTGTTCTTCGGGACACAAGTGACAGTGACTCCTCGCTACAGAGCGAAGAGGACGACGAGGACGACGCGGTCGAACAGGGGTTCCCGCGCGTCATTAATGCGGTTGAACAGGGGTTCCCGCACGTGAATGCAGTGGTTGAACCGGGGTTCCCATCTGCACCTATTGTGGTCGAGCAGGGGCTCCCACAAGGGCATTGTGGCGACGAGAAAGAGCTCGCCAGCGAGTGTGACGTGGACGGACAGGAGTCCTCACGCGAGAGCATGATGGTCGAACCGGGGTTCCCATCATCACCCACTGTGGTCGAACCGAGGTTTTCACATGGGCATATTGTGGTCGAGCAGGGCTCCCACACGAGTACAACGTGGACGGACAGGAGTCCCCACGCGACAGCATGATGGTTCGAACCGGGGTTCCCATCATCACCCACTGTGGTAGAACCGAGGTTCCCACATGGGCATACTGTGGTTGAGCAGGGGATCCCACGCGGGTTTACGGCGGCCGAGCAGGAGCTCCCGCATCAAGTGTCGACGGTCGAGTTTGGGGTACTCCCGTCCAGTGTTTCCGGCATCTTGGATGACGACATCCAGTGCCTAGAGGGGGTTGATGGTTTATCACCTGACTGCGGTTCGCCAGCTTCGAGTAGTGACTCGAAGCACGATGGGGACAACAGCGCCGAGAATTTAGCGTTGGAATGTGTCCACGCTATCGTGTACGTGGAAGGGAGTCCACAAAGGCGCCAATATATCGAGGTCGAGAGTCCTCCTCGTAATGCGTCTTCCATTACAAGTCTTCCAGGGCTTTCCTGGAAGCATTTCCTACGTGACCTTAAGGGAGGCACTGTGGAACAAGTGTGTCTAATCACCAACGAGGTGGTTACCGTGGCAAACGAGGAGCATATGGCGCGTCCTCGAAGCGCTGAGCCGAAGTCAGCGCGTGAAGAAAGGTTTGCATCACAGTCATGGGAGGCCCTGCGAGAATCTGGTAACCCCGTCTACGACATTGCTCGTGAGTATGCAGACGTGTTCCCGGACAAGATCCCGGCTGAACTTCCTGCGGACCGCGGTGTTCGGCACGAGATTGATCTCGTGCCAGGGTCGAAGTATTGTGTGACACGGCAGTGGCCGTTGCCTCGAGATCAAGTCGAAGCTATTGACGCATTCTTTGAAGGCCGCCGCAAAGCGGGTCATGTGCGGGAGAGTATCTCACCACATTCGAGTCCAACCTTCTGCGTGAAGAAGGCTACGGGAGGCTGGCGGATAGTGCATGCGTTCAATAAGTTGAATGATGCCACTATTCCTGCGCAAACGCCAATTCCCAGGAAGGACATGGTGCTGAATTCCATGTCAGGTAGTGTCATCTTCAGTGCCATCGACTTGACCGATGGCTTTTACCATATTTTGATGCGCCCGAGCGATATCCCACTCACCGCAGTGAGCACCCCGAGTGGCATGTTATGGGAGTAGCTGGTAATGCCACAAGGGTTGAAGAACGCTCCGGCCACTTTCAATCGCATGGTGTCTCAAGTATTGAGGCCCCTTCGGAACTTTGCCCCAAGTTATTTTGACGATATTTTCGTCCACAGTCGCGCCGAGGGCAACCTCAACGATGTCCAAGTTCACCTTCAACACCTGAAGCAAGTGTTTCA